GGGGGGGGGGGTTCACCTGCGAAAGGCGTCCTGCAATAAGGAGCAACGCGGTCCCGCCGAAGAGCCCGAGCCATGGAGGATCTGGAACCGCTTGGGCGCCAGCTGGAGCCGGGCTGGAGAGATGTGGAGCGAGCGGGGCAGAGGCCAGAGAGCGCCGAAACGAGACGACTCGGGCACTGTCGCTGAGGCAGCTAGCGTCGCCGAGACCCACCACAGCACCCTCAGCAGCTCCATGCCTCCAGCGCCCGCCTCTGAACCGTCTGCCCGCCGGTACAGAGGGCCCAGGCCCAGCCCCAGCCGCCGCGGTCACCTGACCGGAGAGGCTTCCCTCAGCAGCGCCGAGCGCCGCCTCCCTCATTTCGGTCGCCGAGAGGCGGAGAAACACCCTAGTTGCCTTAACGTTACTAAGGCGCCTCATTCAAGAGGGAGGCAGCGCGCGGAAAGACCTCGCTGTCTGACAATACCGCTCTCGTAACAATACTGAGAGTGATGTTCATAAATTCCTTCCCCTGACATAGCTGCCTTCTCTGGGCAAGGCTCGGTCGTTCCCCTCACAGGCTGAGGAGAGTTGGCCGCAATGCTTCCCCCCCTCCTTCCTCGCTCTCTTGAATAGCCATTGTTTTGCTGTGGTCCATCAAGAGCATCGGTTGGCCTTGGAACGAACCCGCCCGAGGCATTTTTGTCCCAGAAGCAAATTAATCGAACAGAATCCAGATCTAATGCAATAACTGTATATATATGAAGAGAGAGGGAGAGCACGGGTGTGTAAATAAGTGCCAAGGCCTGCTTTATGCTGCTTTTGATATAATCGATCCCCCCAAAATAGTCATCTGGCAGATCTGTTTGTTACATAACCAACCATGAGTGTTTTCTAAATAGCGATAAGAATTATTTATTAAGACTATTTATTTGTGGTTTCTCCCCATGAGTTCAGACAAAGCAACCAATAATCACAATATTAAAAAACCATTATTTTAAAACAGGTGAACGATTTTGCTTTGTAAAATAAGACATTTGTTTATATTGTTATTCCTACTACTGCTGCTACTACCATCATCATTATAATCATAGAACTGCAGAGCTGGAAGTAACCCTGTGAATAATCCAGTCCAGCCCTTTTCAAGGACACTCAGTGAGGAATCAGACTGCCAACCTCTGCTATGTCTGTCCTCAAATTTTCAATGTTAGATGATATTCTGTAGCATTCTGCTTTAATTTCCCCCCAACTTTATTAAGGGAAAATAAGCACCTTTAAAGCTATCATGACATGCAGTTTAATATTTTATTATGGTATGTACATGAAATAAATGCTGTGTGTCAATCATTTTCTGTCTCAAGTACTAATTGCACCCTCCATACACTAAAAGTGGCCTCACTGAACATCTGCAGTCTTGTCACCATTGTTGTTTAGTCGTTATGTCGTGTACCTTCATGACCCCATGGACCAGAGCACACCAGGCCATCCTGTCTTCTACTGCCTCCCAGAGTTTGGTCAAATTCATGTTGGTAGCTTCGATGACACTATCCAACCATCTAGTCCTCTGTCATCCCCTTCTCCTCTTGCCCTCATACTTTCCCAACATCAGGGTCTTTTCCAGGGAGTCTTCTTGTGAGATAGCCAAAGTATTGGAGCCTCAGCTTCAGGATCTGCCCTTCCAGTGAGCACTCAGGGTTGATTTCCTTCAGAATGGATAGGTTTGATCTCCTTGCAGTCCAGGGGACTCTCAAGAGTCTCCTCCAGCACCACAATTCAAAAGCATCCATTCTTCGGTGATCAGCTTTCTTTATGGTCCATCTCTCACTTCCATACATCACGACAGGAAAAACCATAGTTTTGACTATGTGTACTTTTGTCAACAAGGTGATGTCTCTGCTTTTTAAGATGCTGTAGAGTTTTGTCATCGCTTTCCTCCCAAGAAGCAGGAGTCTTTTAATTTCGTGGCTGCTGTCTCCAACTGCAGTGATCATGGAGCCCAAGAAAGTAAAATCTGTCACTGCCTCCATATCTTCCCCTTCTATTTGCCAGGATGTGATGGGACCAGTGGCCATGATCTTAGTTTTTTTTGTTGCTGAGCTTCAGACCGTTTTCTGCACTCTCTTCTTTCACCCTCATTACAAGGTTCTTTAATTCCTCCTCACTTTCTGCCATCAGAGTGGTATCATCTGCGTATCTGAGGCTGTTGATATTTCTTTCAGCAATCTTAATTCCAGTTTGGGATTCCTCCAGTCCAGCCTTTTGCATGACATATTCTGCATATAAGTTAAATAAGCTGGGGGACAATATATAGCCTTGTCGTACTCGTTTCCCAATTTTGAACCAATCAGTTGTTCCATATCCAGTTCTAACTATTGCTTCCTGTCCCACATATAGATTTCTCAGGAAATAGATAAGATGGTCACGCACTCCCATTTCTTTAAGAACTTGCCATAGTTTGCTGTGGTCCACACTGTCAAAGGCTTTTGGTTAGTCAATGAAGCAGAAGTAGATGTTTTTCTGGAACTCTCTGGCCTTCTCCATAATCCAGCGCATGTTAGCAATTTGGTCTCTAGTTCCTCTGCCCTTTTGAAATCCAGCTTGTATTTCTGGTATTGCTCGGTCCACATACTGCCTTGTAGGATTTTGAGCATAACCTTGCTAGTGTGCAAAATGAGTGCAATTGTACGGTAGTTGGAGCATTCTTTGTCACTGCCCTTCTTTGGGATTGGGGTGTAGACTGATCTTTTCCAATCCTCTGGCCACTGCTGAGTTTTTCAAACTTCCCGGCACATTGAGTGTCACTATATCTCCTTCCAAAGTCCCCTTGACACTGAAGGGAGATGGAAGAGAGTTTATTCCCACACAATCTTGACTGGCAGTCTCTTCCCAACACTTCTGTATGATGCAACTATTGTTCTATCAGACATCTATCAATCTCATGTTTTGTATAATATTCTGTTTAAATGCGTCTCTAAGTATTAGGTTATATATACTTATAGTGAGGTATGTAAAAATCTGTCATGTTCAATTGCAATCATTGATGTCCTCACACCAAGACTGAAAACATCTTGGTAGATCAAAATCCTCTTCTCCCTGCAACTCCATGCACACAAGTGTGTGGGATCTTGTACAGCAGATCTGAGGGGAATGGATGAATCTACAAGGGGAGAGGGAGGAGAACAAGAAAGGGAACCTCAATGTTAAAGCATTTGTCTACTCATAGAATGTAGGATGTAAGCTCTTGTGATTATTTTTCCCTGGGGACTTGCCAAAAGTTAGTACTAGTAAGTTATTCCCCTTTTTTGGTGAAACAACCTTTTCTGCGCCCTTATTTTCAGGTGACAAAGCAGGTCTCTTTTTATAACATCTTGCTAGATCTTTTTTATCAGTTACTCCTCACTTAAAAAAACTTTAAATTCCATATCAAATTTGGCACACTGTTATTGCACCCTCCATGTATTTCAGTGTTTGTAATTTATAAACCCATCTACTGCATGAAAGGAGGACTTCTGAAGCCCTTTTCATGTAACCAAAAGTGTATGGAATCAAGGCACAAAAGAGGATCAAGATAGTAGCAACTGCTGCACTCAATCTCCATATTTTGATTGCCCCTTTGCTCCCAGAGGCTACACATACAGTAATGCTGTGGCAGAAATCCTTCTGTGTAACAATATACTCATAAATGGCAATGAAATAATCAGCCAATAATGTTAATATTTAATTTAATTTAATTTAAAGCCTCCTAATGTTCCCCTCTCCAGGTTCCAAGACTCTCTGGGGATCCTTAGGGAAATATCTGGGACCCTCAGGGTGGTAGAAAGAGACTTTAATTCCTGAAAATTGCGATTGGATTGCCATCACCAGGATCACCGCTGGCAATCTGGCTGTCATTTTCCAATGGGTTTTCAGCCACTATGTGATCTGGAATCCTACAATATGGAGAACTGTCAAAATGTGAAATTTTGAATGCATAGATGGTTAAAATAATTAAAGGAGGTGTAAGAAAGTAGCCCTTAAAATGTACATTGTGCTTTAAAAATTAGGTTTGAATAGCAGTTTAGTAAAAATCACTGCAAAACAGCTAGTTCTCCAGCCAAGTCTAGAAACAAGGTCACTGTATAAATAACATTGCCTTCTAAAAGAATCTCTTTCATCGCTGACAGTTGAGGGTGAAAGTAAACAAAGGGGGAAAAACTCTTTTTAAGTTTAACTGAAGTTTAGAGTTTTTGTTTTAATTTAAATATATGTGCCAACAGTTTTTCTATATCTGTAAGACTTTTGGATGATTTCAACAACTTAAGTATTTTCGTACATACGGAACAAAGCAATGTACATAGCTACGTAAAGTTTGTAGAATTAGACAAATAGATGTTGCCTGGAATCACTGCAATAATGAAAAAATACTGTATACACCTTGGTAGCTAGATTAATTTTGATATGACTGGAAATTGTTGTTTGATTTCATTCTAAAATTAACCCTAAATGAGTTAAATGCCAGCAGTGACAAACACCACCTTCTGATTTTTTTCCTAGAGGTCTGTACAATTTTACAGGGCATCAGACATCCTGACTTGACACAAGAGAAGAATCAATGGGTAGAGGCTAGAGGTGAGAACAGTGGCTGCAAAACAACATAGTCACTTTTCCATGCATAGATTTTACACACTTAAAGAATACTGTATTGGGAAAGAGTTATATTGATCCCTTTCCTTACAATAAGTAATAATGAAGAAATTAGAACAGTGCTTACATGGAAAGAGTAGGAATTGAAGGAGAGCAAGGAAATCTATTTACAGTATTAGCATGGGCAACAATATGGGAAATAACTGCAGAAGGAAATTTACAGTGTCATGGCAGATATACCCCCTCTATCCTTTTTATAGGCTTTTGATAAGCAACTTTCTTATCCACTGCATTATCTACCCCGTCAAAGATGCAGTTGTTAAATTTATGCCTGTCATGCATAATAATATGCAATGTCTTTGTTAGGAAAAACAGATGGAAACTCGATCACGAATTGTGGAGGGATGCATTTCCTATTTTATTTGCACATCAATTCACCACCTGTCAAGGAGCTTTGGACCAGAGCACAGAGTGCTGTCCTCTGAAGATGCCGGCCACTGAGACTGGCGAAATGTTAGGAAGAACAACCTTCAGAACATGGCCAAAGAGCCCGAAAAACCCACAACAACCAGCTTTGGAAGTACTCAGAGGGATACACTGCCAGACCTGAAGACTCTGCCCAATGTGGTGAGTGATGCTGGACTTGTTTTAATAGCACCTGGTGCTTTAATTTGGCAGGAACATCCTCATTAGTGTTTGCAAGTAAGTCTT